GACTTATTTCGCTCAGTATAATACCCTCCAGTCCCATCCAAATCAATGTAAATGGTAAATATTCATCCTTTCTGATGGCTGAGTAATATTCCATTTTATATATGAACCACATCTTTATCCATTTATCTATTGATGGACATCTGGGCTCTTTCCATAGTTTGGCTATTGTGGACATTGCTGCTATAAACACTGGGGTGCAGGTGCCCCTTCGGATCACTACATTTGTATCTTTGGGGTAAATACCCAGTAGTGCAATTGCTGGGTCGTGGGGTAGATCTATTTTTAACTTCTTGGGGAACCTCCATACTGTTTTCCAGAGTAGCAGCACCAGCTTGCATTCCCACCAACAGTATAAGAGGGTTCCCCTTACTCTGCATCCTTGCCAACATCTGTTTTTTCCTGACTTGTTAATTTTAGCCATTCTGACTGGTGTGAGGTGGTATCTCATTGTGGTTTTGATTTCTATTTCCTGATGCCAAGCAATGTGGAACATTTTTTCAAGTGTCTGTTGGCCATTTGGATGTCTTCTTTGGAAAAATGTCTGTTCATGTCTTCTGCCCATTTCTTGATTGGATTGTTTGTTCTTTGGGTGTTGAGTTTGATAAGTTCTTTATAGATTTTGGATACTAGCCCTTTATCTGATATGTCATTTGCAAATATCTTCTCCCATTCTGTAGGCTGCCTTTTAGTTTTGTTGACTATTTCCTTTGCTGTGCAAAAGTGTTTTATTTCAATGAAGTCCCAATAGCTCATTTTTGCCCTTGCTTCCCTTGCCTTTGGAGACGTGTCTAGCAAGAAGTTGCCAGCTGAGGTCGAAGAAGTTGCTGCCTGTGTTCTCCTCTAGGATTTTGATTGATTCCTGTTCATATTTAGGTCTTTCATCCATTTTGAGTTTATCTCTGTGTATGGTGTAAGAAAATGATCCAGTTTCATTCTTCTGCATGTGGCTGTCTAATTTTCGCAGCACCATTTATTGAAGAGGCTGTCCTTTTTCCATTGGATATTCTTTCCTGCTTTGTTGAAGATTAGTTGACCATAGAGTTGAGGGTCCATTTCTGGGCTCTCTATTCTGTTCTATGATCTATGTGTCTGTTTTTGTGCCAGTACCATACAGTCTTGTTGATTATAGCTTTGTGATGCCACCAGCTTTGGTTTTATTTTCAAGATTTCTCTGGCTATTCTTGGTCTTTTCTGTTTCCATACAAATTTTAGGATTATTTGTTCCAGCTCTGTGAAAAATGTCAATGGTATTTTGATAGAGATTGCATTGAATGTGTAGATTGCTCTGGGCAGCATAGACATTTTCACAGTATTTGTTCTTCCAAAGCATGGAATGTTTTTCCATTTCTTTGTGTCTTCCTCAGTTTCTTTTATAAGTCTCCTGTAGTTTTTATACATAAACAATGAATCATGGAACACTACATCAAAAACTAATGATGTACTGTATGGTGACTAACATAACATAAAAATAAAAAAATAAGTCTTCTGGACTTTTTAGAATACAGATCCTTTACCTCTTTGGTTGGGTTTATTCCTAGGTATCTTATGGTTTTTGGTGCAATTGTAAATGGGATCGACTCCTTAATTTCTCTTTCTTCTGTCTACTTGTTAGTGTATAGAAATGCAACTGATTTCTGTGCTTTGATTTTGTATCCTGCCATGTTGCTGAATTCCTGTATGAGTTCTAGCAATTTTGGGGTGGAGTCCTTTGAGTTTTCCACATAAAGTGTCATGTCATCTGTGAAGAGAGAGAGTTTGACTTCTCCTTTGCCAATTTGAATGCTTTTTACTTCTTTTTGTTGTCTGATTGCTGAGGCTAGGACTTCTAGTACTATGTTGAACAACAGTGGTGAGAATGGGCATCCCTGTCACTTTCCTGACCTTAGGGGGAAAGCTCTCAGTTTTTCCCAGTTGAGAATGATATTTGCTGTGGGCTTTTTGTATATGGCTTTTATAATATTGGGGTATATTTCCTCTCTCCCTACACTGTGGAGAGTTTTAATCAAGAAAGGATGCTGTATTTTGTCAAATGCTTTTTTCTGCATCAATTGAGAGGATCATATGGTTTTTGTTCTTTCTTTTATTAATGTGATGAATCATGTTGATTAATTTGCAAATGTTGAACCACCCTTGCCTCCTAGGAATACATCCCACTTGGTGGTGTTGAATAATCCTTTCAATGTATTGTTGGATCCTATTGCCTAGTATCTTGGTGAGAATTTTTGCATCCCTGTTCATCAAGGATATTGGTCTGTAATTCTCCTTTTTGGTGGGGTCTTTGTCTGGTTTGGGGGTTAAGGTAATGTGGACTCATAGACCGAGTTTGGAAGTCTTCCTTCCAGTTCTGTTTTTTGAAACAGCTTCAGAAGAAAAGGTATTAGTTATTTAAATGTTTGGTAGAATTCCCCTGGAAAGCCATCTGGTCTTGGACTCTTGTTTGTTGGGAGATTTTTGATTACTGCTTCAATTACCTTCCTGATTATGGGTTTGTTCAGTTTTTCAATTTCTTCCTGTTTCAGTTTTGGTAGTTTATAAGTTTCTAGGAATGCGTCCATTTCTTCCAGATTGCCTAATTTATTGGCATATAGTTGCTCATATTTCCTTGGGGTTGATTGTGATCTCTTCTCTTTCATTCATGATTTTATTAATTTGGGTCCTTTCTCTTTTCTTTTTGATAAGTCTGGCTAGGGGTTTATCGATCTTTTTTTAAATATTTTTTATTTATTTATTT